TCTTTCTTCTGCCCAATTTATTCTAGCAGTAAGAGCCTCCCTTTTTTATTGCACCTCATTAATAGCTTTTTTTATTTCAACTTGGTTAGATTTTAGTTCTTTTATTTCTCCAGAAAGGGCTTTTATCTCTCCAGAGAGCGTTTCTCTAATATCTTCCATGCCTTTTTTGATCCCGGCTAGAATCTTGAGAATCATCATTCTGAACTCTATATCTGACATATTACCAAAGTCTGTATTGATTAGGTCCCTAGTCTTTGGTACTGCCTCTTGTTCTTTTTTTTGTGGTGAGTTTTCCTGCCTTGTCATTTTGTGCAGATAAGAGTATATGAAGGAGCAAATAAAATACTGAAAGGGTGGCAAAGACCCCAGGAAAATGCGCTTTAACCAAATCAGAAGAGACCCCAAATTGTGGGAGGGAGAAAGCGGATAAAAAGAAGTTCAGAAAAAAAAAATTAAAAAAATAAAACAATTAAAAAATATATATATATTAGGTAAAGTAGTTTAAAAATGTTAAAAAAGAAAAGGGTAAAAGTTAAAAAAATTTTAGCAGAAGAAAAAAAAATTAAAAAAATATTAAATTAACCGCAAGACTAAAGAATCATTGGGAGAAAGCCATGAGTTTCATGCTTTGCTTTCTCCTCCACTGAAATTCTGCTGCTCTCCTTGGTAGGTGAACTTTGTCTTGGCTGGATTTCTTATTGATCTTCTGGGGGAGGGGCCTATTGTAGTGATTCTCAAGTGTCTTTGCCCCAGGAGGAATTGCACTGCGCTTACCAGGGGCTGGGCTGAGTAATCTGCTCAGGTTCACTTTTGGGAGTTTTTTTCCCCTGAATTCTTTCCGTAGAGTTCCGGAGGATAGGAATGAAAATGGCGGCCTCCCATTCCCAGCCTGGAGGAGCCGAGAGCTCGGGGCCCCAGTCCTCAGTGCACCCTCAGAGAAAAGAGCCCAATCACTCCTGTCTCCCTGGCCTCTGGCCGTGCTCTGAGTTCCCCCAGCCTGCGACTGGTTCAAGGTAACCCCAAGCTGAGGGCTCACTCCTCAGCTCTGTCTCTGTAGCTGGCATCCCTGGTCTAATACCTGCAAGCTTTGCAACACTCAGACACCCCCGATCCTTCTGTGACCCTGTGGGACCTAGTGCCATGCTGGCCCTGCATGGGCTTCACCCCGGTTTAGCCTCTGGAGCAATGTCTCTCAGTGGAGCAGACTTTTAAAAGTCCTGATTTTGTGCTCCATTGCTCCACTGTTTCACGGGAGCCAGCCCCTCCCCCCGCAGTCTATCTTCCCATCGCTTTGGATTCACTTCTCCACTGGTCCTACCTTTCAGAAAGTGGCCGATTTTCTGTTTCAAGAATTGCTGTTCTTCTTCTCTTTGATCTCCCGTTGATTTGGTAGGTGTTTGCAATGGTTTGATAAGCTATCTAGCTGATCTCCTGCTACCTGATGTAGTCTCAGCCTGCTACTTCTCCGCCATCTTCTCCCTAGAAACTGGCTCTCCTTGTTTTATTAGCACTGTTAATCAAACTTACACTCAAACTTACACTCTCTAATCTAAATTAAATGCCTTTAATTTTCAAAGCCTAGCTCTAAGTTCTGACTCCTCTCTATTTCTTCACCTCTAAGAAAATCTCAGTTCATTTTTATCTCTATGATATAATGGGCAGAGATCTTTCCCAGTCTGGGATTCCTTAGGCCAGTGTCTTCCAGCATTGCTGCACATCTGAATTATCTGAGGAGTTTTATAAATATTGGTGCTTTTATAAATTTTTATAAATTATAAATATTGGTGCTTTGTTGCATGCCCTATTATCTAGGTTAAAATCAGGTATGAATTTCTTTTTTAAAGATGATTTCAATGTGCATAGGATTCATTCATTGGCTTATGGATCATGGACTTCATTATTGAATAGTTTTGGTTTCTTTTTTCTATCTTATTCAAGCAAGATAAATGTCTATGAGAAAATGAGTAGAAAAACAAAGAGGAAAATTGTGCACAAGTAATCAAGAAAATGTATATTGAAACCACAAATGATTTTAAAGTATCCTAACTAATGAGGTATTGTGTTTATTTATTTTTTAATATTGGTACAAAAGAATATCTTTTTTATCTTTACAGAGGACCAAGAATCAGAATGCTTTTGTACTTTTTAACAGCAATACAAGAAAATAAAAAATAATAAAGAAATGTCTTTAAAATTCAGAAAAAAAAATTCCAGCTAAAATTTTGTACCAAATGTAGATGTTAATTAAGTGAAAGTATGTTTTAAAAAAATGTGAACAAGCAAATTGTCAAAAGCTTCATATCTTTATGCACCATTTCTCAAGAAATTACTAAAGGATATGTTCCAGTAAAATAAAGAAATAAGCTAAGAGTGAAATAAGTCAAGCAGAGAGAGTCAGTTATCATACAGTTTCACTTACTTGTGGAGTATAAGGAATAACACAGAGGACATTGGGTGAAGAAGAGTAGAAATAAGTTGGGGGAAATCAGAGGGGGAGACAAACCATGAGAGACTGTGGATTCTGAGAAACAGACTGAGGGTTTTGGAGGGGAGGGGGATGGGGAGTTGGATGAGCAACCCAACCCCCCATCTCCCTCCCCTCCAAAACCCTCAGTTTGTGGTGGGTATTAAGGAGGGCATGTATTGCATGGAGCACTGGGTGTGATGCATAAACAATGAATTTTGGAACACACACACACACAAATTAAATTAAATTAAATTTTTAAAAGGGCAATTGGGTTAGAAATATAAAAGCAAATATCAAGGAAACAGGGCAAATATACAATAAATTAAAAAAATAAAAAGAAAGAAACTAAGAAAGAAAAAAGTAGGGGGGCCATGAAAGGAGATCCCACAGACGAGAGGTGGTGGCAATCCTCAATATAATGATTATGAGAGATCATAAGATCACTGCTATGCTCCAAGATAAAGCTAATGAAATATGTGATGAGCCTGGATGGTAAATCCCCAAAGAATCCGTTATATCAGTTGAAGTGATTATTTCTCGTGAGATCCATTTTTTTTTTTCATTCCTATAGATATTTAGGGCAAGGTGCTGCTCTTAGGTAAGGCTCATATATTAGTTTTTGTGTGTGGCATTATCTACTAGGTAGAGTTTAACTCAGAGTTCTTTTAATCCCTACCATGTTAATATTTTAGTGGTGTTGATTTACATACCTGTCAGCCTAGTAAGAAAATCTGTAGCCAGATAATGGAATGCTTTGGATGTAATGTCTTGTGAAGATCATGAGACAACTTGATAGGATGGCATAAAAATGATTCCTAGAATCAGACCAGTGGTTCAAATTCTAAATGGACTATATATTAGCACCTTATGTAATCCTCTATGAGCTTTAATTCCCTGTTTTGCAAATGATGAACTATTACCCACTTTCAATGATATATGGATTAAATGGTATCTATGAATCTGTACCATATCTGGTAACAAGAAGTACCCATCAATTTATAAGATCTTATTTCTTCTGCCCTGCTAGGTGATAATCTTGATATGTCTTCTTCAAATTGCTGTACACACAGTTTTAAATACTTAGTAAAGGAATGAAAAAAATAGATCTTATATAAACAAAAATTATTGGTATTATGGTGAATGCTAAATTAGGCATTTACAGGGGACTTCTGGAATGCGGGAGCGATATTCTCTACAAATTCACTGCTCCAAAAAAAAGCAGAAAATATACTGGGAAAATGGTCAAAATGAACCTTCAGAGGCTCTGAAAAGCTTGCAACACACTGAGAAATGTGTATTTAAGTGAAACTGATAGGTTTCTCTAAAAACAGAGAACATTTAAATATGGCTCCATTCTTGAGCTTTTGGTAGCCTTAAAAACCAACACCCTTTCAACCACAGAAGCCCTACAATCCAGCAGCCTCGCAGGTATCAAAGGCTGGCTTCTCAGAAAGTCCGTCTCCAAAGTTGTTACTTTTACCTGGGCTACTCCCTAGGGGAACCCCACTCAGAGGGTCTGTCATCATCAGACTTTGATTAGAAACTCCCTTAGTGGGGGAAATCCTACCTGAGGGCATTTGTTGAAAATGATCACAAGAAACTGTTGAACACTCCTGTTGCTTAAGGCTATGATACCAGTCGGGCAAACAAGATCTTGAGCAAAAATTTTAAAAGAAGATCTGAGGAATGAGAAGCTCGTAGGCAGCTTTCAAATGTTCTGATATCCTCTTGTAGATCTAGAGAATACACACAAGTGTAAGGCTGTGTGCATGCCCAGGAAAGACCTGGGAGGACCCCAGCTTCTCACCAATGGCTGACTGCGAACCCTGTGCAAGCAAGGAAGCAAAGGTAAAGGCATGAACGTTAAAGGCATGCCCCCAAAACATGAAGTCCCTGGCAAAGGGGGAAAGACTTATTGGTTCAAAGCATTAAGGAAATCTGACCAATAACTAGTTCACTAGTTGACCACTAAGGTCACTGAATGGAGACCTCCGTGGCTGCACACTATGAAGAAATTTATTAGTTCAGGTAAGTCACTAAACAATAAACAACAACAGTAAGAAACACCAGCAACAACCAACTGTGAGATACAGGTGGGAGGTCTGGTTTCCAGAGTTGCCACATTGTATCATCTAATGTATCTAATGTTTTTCACAACAACAAAAAATATGTGACATGCAGGAAAATACGGCCCATACATGGAGGAAAAATTGAACAGAAACAGCCTGAAGGTTTCAGATGTTGGACTTACCAAATCAGATATTTACAAAATCATTAGAGATAATCTAGATCAAGGAGTCTGAGACTTAATGAGATTAATGACTTACATAATGACCAACATCAGTGTTCAAAGAAGACTATGAATTTGGATTTTCAACTCGGACTATTTCGCAGAATGATTGCGTTCAATTTTAAGCATCTGTGTGTATACAAATATAAAAATATATATGTTCCTTTTTTTAAAAACTAATAAAACACATGGAATTATTTGAAAATATTTTAAATAGTCCTTATTTTTTAATCTCTCTTTCAGGCCCTCCTGTTAATGTCACATGCAACATATTCATAAACAGCTTTGGCTCTATCGCTGAGACAACCATGGTAGGCATGTTTACTTTGTGACAAGTTTCACACTGGAGTAATTTGTGATTACGTAAACGACAAATTTTCTGTTAGTGTTATGTAATTTAAAGCCAAAGTTAATATAATGAGATTCTTAAAAATAAAATTACTGGTATAATTAAGTTGCAATCAACTGCAGGTAATAACGTTTCATTTGGAGACTGTATATTAGAGAATAAATGTAAGTGAAAACAAGATTGATTTTCCCATTTTGGTAATTAAATATTAAGTCTCAAATTAAAACTAAAGTTTTACCATTTAAATTATTTCTTTTCAATGCTCTTTAATAACCAAACAGAAACATAGGAGCAAATAGTTTCATGTTCAATTATTCTGTATGTTTATAATGTGTTTACAGTATTATGTTAAGTATTTTATTTGATTACTTTTCCAAATAAATACAGTATTTGCTGAAATAACATAAATATTTTGTGAATAGTGGTACATGCTTTACTTTATTGAAACTCATTAACAGAGACTTCATTAGTATGTAATCAAGAACATTTTATATAATGAAGTTATTAAAGCCAAAAAAATCATCATTACAGACCAAATTTATTCTGATTTGGATTTTATAACATTCTCTAAAGATCATGCTTTGCACTGCAGCTTTTCTTGTGCATTTCAACTGAAATAAAAGGCAGAGATAGACTCATGAATCTCTCAATATCTGTAAAATTGTCTAGCAGACAAGTTTTTTTTTTAATTGAAACTATGTATGGTGGTTTTTAAGTTACCTAGAATTATACTCCACTCCTAAATTTAGCAAGTATAATTTGCATTAATTTTCAAAGTTGATTTTAGCTAAAATAGGATGTGAAATACTTAAAGATTTATTAGCTTCCAAAGCCATTATTAAGCATCGATTTATGCTCATTGGGCATATCTCAGAATGACCTGATAGCAAATTTTCTAAGGAAAAATAATCTAATATGTAAATTATTATGGGTGGACATAAGGGTGTGTGTATGTATACATGTGCATGCACGTGTCTGTGTAAAGAATCTATCTTAACAGGAAGAGAATTTTTTGAGGAATCTTTTTAAAAAATTTCTCTTTTCCTCATGTGTGCAATATTTATTCATTTAGTGGCATCTCTGTGGTTTTATCAAACAATATAATATAACTGCAATAAAAGTATCAGTGAAGAAGAACTGAATTTACATATTTGGGCATTATATAGAATTATCTTAACTACAGTGTATACATTAACATGAATGTGTGTTTGTTTGTGTAAACAGAGAAAATGCATACCATTTGCTTGCTTAACCACAGTGTTGTTCCCATGAAATTCTGACTCTAAAATGACTGTAATCTTGTTTAAGGCTTTGACATATTCTGGATTCTCACTGAGTATTTGGTTCTGATTTATATCCTGCATTTGTATTATTGGGGAGAAAAATTTTCATCTATGCTTCAAGATTCTTTTGGCTGCTTTAAGAATTAAATTGACATGAGACAGCTAACAGAGGAGAATCCAATTTAATAGCATACATAAACACAAGAGATTCCAAAGACAAGAAAATGTGGTATATATGCCATTCTGAACTAGGGAGAAAGAGATAGTCTGGGACTGCAAATGGAAGGAAAACAATTCACAGGAAGGTGAAAAAGAATAAATATTTGGTGAACAATTGTTTGCTGGACCATTCAGAAACAATTGACCATTGAGAGGACTTTGATTAAATAGGCCTTGCCAGGTTCCTACCTATTCACCAGGCCTAGTTCATATTATACCTATGGTTATCTATGGTGCTAGCTTCCTTCTTGCAACAGGTCCTCTATCTAAATTCTTTTAGCCAGTTAGCAAAAAGAAAAACTTCTTGAGTTTTCTTTTTCTTAAAAAAAAAAACAACCTAAAATAATTCATATACCAAAGAGACACATTTTGGGGTGGAAAATTCTGCTCCTCTACTGTACATTCTTAGTCCAAATCATATTTAAAGATGAAGGAATCTCTGCTTTTTTTCTACTTAGGCTTTCCAAATTGTATTTTGAGCCCTGGCAACTTGTTCACTTTAATAGCTGCTATACAAACTGTATAATCTCAAAACCCTAAAAATATGTTTATACTTTCTCTTTTGCAAAACTGTTTCCACAAAATACTGCCAGCAGCAATAGTTTGAAAAAATTTACAGCCTTACTTGTCTTTGCGGGATGGAGGAAAAGACTTGGGAAAAAAAGAAAAAACATGGCCAGATTTCTTTCTCATTAAAACCAGAAAGATTGTCAGGTTATTTGAGGGTCTTTGCTTTTTATAATGCAGTTCAACAGTCTATTACTAAATGGCTGTAGCACATGATCTAGAGGATGACTGCACCAGCTAAATTTCTTACCTGTAATAATTTTAGACTCCCTTTATAAAATAATATTACACAGAAAGCTTGCAGAATATTGCAAATACAGTTTGTCAGTGACTCTTACTCAGTTTTATTTCCTTTCTCTAACATAGAAATCCTTTTCATTCCTACATATTCTATCATAATGTGTTTTTTTGAAGTCATTTTTAGCATGTATCACTTTCCTCTTCAGAATCACAAGCAACATCAATGAACATTAATCAAACATCTCGGAGGTTAAGTATTGTAAAATTTACTATGCTCATCTTGGTATCTTTCTTTTTAGTCTTCTAAACTTTTAAACAGGTGATGTTACTTCTATTAATATAATCAGATTCAATATCTGTAGAATTTTTAATGGTATCAGATAGAAAAGCTGCAACATGGTGTCCACACACATAGAAATGGAGAAAATTAAAACGTATTATTATATTTCTATCTTAAGATTCATAGAATACTTTCCTACCACTTGATTAACTTGATAAATTTTATTCACAGTTTCTACCATCTGTAGAAAACTTTGTAGCTCTGTAGCTAAACTTTGTCCATTAGTTTATTTGCTGTAATATTATTTTAATTTGTTTTTATAGAAGTATCTATAGATTCTTAAAAATATTTACATTTCTTATATAGTTTACTTTTTAAAAAAAGATTATTTATTTATTTATTTGAGAGAGAGATCACACAAGTAGGCAGAGAGGCAGGCAGAGAGAGAGAGGAGGAAGCAGGCTCCCCGCTGAGCAGAGAGCCCAATGCAGGGCTTGATTCCAGGATCCTGAGATCATGATCTGAGCCTAAGGCAGAGGTTTAACCCACTGAACCACCCAGGTTCCCCTACTTTTGTTTTTATAATACAAATAGTGTAATTCAACTAAGACAATATATTAAAATTGTGAGGATGGAATTTCAAATTACATATGTTTATGGCTATCTTTGCACCTGAGATCTCATATCTAGAATAAATCTCCCAATCTATAGATCTCCATTTAACAAAGACCTTAATTGTCTTCAATGTTTGTTTACTGACCAAAAATATTAAGCTCCTTCTGCTGGTCTACTTTCTCACAATTTTCTCTCTCCCCATCTTAAAATTCATTTTAAGATATCCATTTGAGATATCCATTTGAGGTAATTATTTGATTCTTTTTTTTTTAAGACTTTATTTATTTATTTGTCAGAGAGAGAGAGGGAGAGAGAGCGAGCACAGGCAGACAGAACGGCAGGCAGAGGCAGAGGGAGAAGCAGGCTTCCTGCCGAACAAGGAGCCCGATGTGGGACTCGATCCCAGGACGCTGGGATTATGACTTGAGCCGAAGGCAGCTGCTTAACCAACTGAGCCACCCAGGCGCCCCTAATTATTTGATTCTTGAGAAAATTTCTCTAGTAGATATTCTACATGCTTACCCATTTGTTTTGAAAATTAATTCAAAATTTTAAAGTATTTTGCATTTTCTTCTTGTACCAAACTTATTTTTTTAAATATTTTTCTGCACTTGGGGTGTCTGGGTGGCTCAGTTATTTAAGTCTGACTCTTGATTTCGGCTCAGGTCATGATCTCAGGGCTCTGGGATCAAGCTCTAGGCATCACCTGGCTCCCTGTTCAGCAGGAAGTCTGCTTGGGATTCTGTCTCTCCCTCTGCCCCTCTCCACTTCCCCTCAAATAAATAATAAATCTTAAAAAAAATTACATATACCTTTACAAGAGCATAAATTCAAATTTATTTTTGACTGTGAAACTCACCATTTCCCAATATTTATTTGTCCAATTAACTTATTGTAGTTCCAACCCTTCTCACTTGAGCACAGTCTTATTATTCTTGACATATAATTATCAAATTTTTCCTTTAGATAATCTGTAAATTTTAAACTTCCTTATTTCTTTTATATCTGTGTCATTTGTCATATATGAGTTTCTCTAAGGACATGTTCAGCCTCCATTATTCCACGTTCACATTCTTCTTCTTCTTCTTTTTTTTTTAAAGCTTTTATTTATTTATTTGACAGAGATCACAAGTAGGCAGAGAGGCAGGCAGAGAGAGAGGGAGAAGCAGACTCCCTGCTGAGTGGAGAGCCCCATGTGGGACTCGATCCCAGGACCCTGAGATCATGACCTGAGCTGAAAGCAGAGGCTTAGCCCACTGAGCCACCCAGGTGCCCTCAAGTTCACATTCTTGATTTCACAACTATTAGAAACCAAAGTTCTTGAAAAAAATAAATAAATAAAAATAAATAAATAAATAAATAAATTCAAGATGAAACTGGTTTACCACCATCAGAGTCATTCCTGTTCCCCTTTTGTAACATGGCCTTGATAAGGGACATGCATCTGTCCTGCCATCTAAACTTGTGGTAACAAAGGAGCTCATTCATGATTGTTTTTATTGCTTCTACGAGGGGAGCTTAAGCTCTCCCCATTAATGTGACTCCTGTAAACCTGTTAGGAGTTCTGGAGAAGGCTTAAATGCCAGGATGAAAGCATTTGTAAGTTGGGTTTTTTTAAAAAACAAACAAACAAACTTATTTATGAATGTAGTAATTTGGGTGTGTGTAGATAGCAGTGTCTCAAACTGCATATATATTTAGGCTTACCCTCCTATCTTCAGAAAACAGATGGCTCTCCATCTTGTTACACATATGTTA